TCTCATTAAATATTAAGTTCTGCCTCCGATGACCATGTTAATTATATGCCGTTTGCCCTCAAGCGTCGGCAGTGAGGCACTCCACCTCTTGAGGTCTGCAGAGATTTTATCTAGCACTGTTGGCCATGGTGTAGTGTATTGGACTCCATTCCCAATGCAAGCACCCAACATCCGGAAAGTTTGTCCATCCGGGATTATTCTCAAGTTCTCTTCAATGGTACCCTTGTCGTGTTTCATTGTTTATTCGCCTCTCTCGTATCACCTTTGCACGATAAGATGCTCGGCCAAAGGGTAGCAGAACAGTTTTGTGTTCGTTAAATTTGGCTGTTGATGCGGCACACCAAAGACGTAGGATTTCCCAGAGTGTTTCTAGCGAGTCCTTCGAAGATAGATAGACAGTTGTGTCGTCTGCAAAGAGCGAGACCACGAGATTTTCATCTTTTTCAGGTATTTTGACTCCTTGAAGGTCCGCCTTTCGGATTAAACAAGCTAAAGGTTCGATTGCCAGGTTGAATAGTAAACAGGAGAGTGGGTCTCCTTGCCTGACTCCACGAGTAACGATAAAGGGCTCGCTAATTTCACCATTAATTATCGCCACTGTCTCAGCGTTGTTGTAGAGACTTCTAATTGTGTTACAAAATTTCGTTGAGAAGCCCATGTGTTGAAGGACTCTTAGTAGGTATGTATGATTGATTCGGTCATAAGCCTTTTCTTGATCCAGTGCGACGATAACACCGTCCTCTTCGGCTGCCTCTGCATAATTCAAGAGGAATTTTGCAAGCTTAACTTGATCCTCAATTTTTCTGCCCCTCATGAAACCAGCTTGGTTTGGATTTACAAGAGAAGGTGCAACATTTATCAGTCTCAATGAATAAGTCTTTGTCATCAATTGTAGTCGCAGTTCAGGAGCGTTATTGCTGATCAAAGAGTTGTCTCCTTTTTTGAACACAGGGCAGAGCCAACCGGCGTTGAATTTCGAGCCTTGAGTGATACCATATCGTTCAATGTCTGCATAAAGTTTAGTTAGGAGCGCTAGGACATTAAATGTCTCGGAGTTGGTTCCTCTACTTTGGCAGAACAAGATGTCCAGAAGTTTGTAAAGCTCATAAGGGATTCCGTCTAAACCGGGGGCTTTCCCATTATGCGAGAGTCTGAGCGCCTCTTCAATATCTTCGATGGTGAGATCTTTGTCCATGTCGTTAAACTCTGGTTCAGAAAGATGGACATTGCATTTTTCAAGTGTGATTTCGGTGGTCATCATCCTGGCATACTCGTCGGGGTGTCCTTATGTTGGGTTGATTCATGGTAATCCCGGGCCATCTCTGCCATCTGCTTCGGCCGCGTTTCGTATCGAGGTGTACCAGAGTTGGAGTATATTTCATTTTCCACCTTGAACTCATAAATCGAATCTTTAGCGTGATAAGTGTGTCCAGGATGAGGTTCTCAAAGTTTCACCCTCAACATCGTAGCATGTTTCTGACAATGCTTTTTTCTGTTCAGCTTCTGCCTTAATATGGTCAGCAATCTTTTTCTCGAGATAGTGGGCAGTCAGAGACTTGTCTTCCTGGGGCATGTCTAGATCATGAATAACAATCGTGAGCTGAGCTTTCCAGGTTCGTATTTGACGGGTTGTTTCATTCGTGATGTATCGGGAGCAGTGTTTTCCTCAGGCAGTTATATCTGCCTTGAACCTTACCCAGAGTGTTTGAATGTTGTTCATTGGATCGCGTTCAGTGTGTTCTAGCTCCTCGAGCTCCTCTACAAGCTCGGTGGCGAGAGCTTGAACTCTCTTCATAAATTTCGGAGTCTTCAGCAGGTATAATGGCATGTTCCATCGTCCTTTGCCAGGCTGTTCCTCAGGTCTGCATGTCAATTGAGTGAGTACGAGTCGATGGTCACTTTTCACCGGACAGTGCTTAATTTCCCAGCCGCGATATAAGTGGAATTGCTGGCTATCAACTTTGATACGATCAATCCTTGAGTATGATATGTGAAGTCCGTTTGAAGATTGATCCTCCGATGCTGAGTACAAGTATAATCCCGTGTATCTGGAAAAGTACCACGCCATCCATCATGTAAGCGCCATAAATGTTTCAGTATCTTGAAGCTCTGTGGAATGGTATCAATCGCCCCGGAGTTTCTGTCCAGGGGATCTTCGACAAAGTTCCAATCTCCCAATGCAATATTTGGGAACGGAAGCTGCGGGTTCTCAGCCCATTTTTTCCATAATAATTTCCACATCTCGTCCCGTTCCTCTGGCCGGTTGGGAGCATATATATTCAGTACGTTCAGAGACTCGCCGCTATGCCATGGAATTACCATCATGAAGGCCCTTCCGGGGATGAGCTCGTATTCACGGATATTTTCCGTGTCAAGATATTTCTTGTTGAGGACAAATGTCACGCCAGCTGTGGAGCATGGTTTTTCGGGGTGGGCCGAGTAGTATAGTTTGAACCAACGGTTGAAAACATTGTTGAACTGTGATGCAGATTCCACATCGAAGTGGGACTCTTGTATGCCAAGTATACCGAGATTGTTTTCGTCGATAGTTTGCTTCAAGAATTTGAATTTATGATCCTTCTGGGCATGGATATGTGCGATTCACGGCCCGCAATATTGAGCGAACCAATAGTTAAATTTGAGCGGGTGAACTTGCCCGATCTTAATACCCTCAGGGGTTTATATCTCTTTCTAATGGCCAGGTTTTCAGGTTCCCAGCTGCTAGCTTCTACGTCAGAGGAATCCATCTGACTCCGTGAATATTGGTGTGGTAAATCCTGGTCCTGTAAGTCATCTGTATCCTCGGGAGGGTTTCGGGGACGTGGTACCTCCCTCTCGTCAGTGCCTGCTGGCGACGAGTTCAGAGCGTGAATCCAGCAGGATTCAGGGTGAATTGGGGCCTGGCCCCGACTACCCAAAATGCGGCCCCTTCAGTGACAGTTCTGCTGCACTGGCTGTTACAGTGACTGGCGAAGGGCAGCAGGGTACTGCTGAGTCCTCCAATATGTTATCTTTGGACCATGATTCTCCATGGTTGGCTCCTACTTCCGCAGAGGGTCCCGAACCAAGGATCGATTCAACTAGCCATATTGCAGATGGTACTCTAACAGATTTCGATAGGATTGCGGGAGATGTTGAGAGGATGCGAAACTCCCGCTCACATGATTCAAATGAAACAGCGAATATTAACACTAAGCAGCTTACAATTACTTTCCCACGGACAAACTGGCCTCTGTGCAACTTTTTCTTTTCTACTGTAGGGCCAGATTGGCTGAGATACAAGTGTCATTAGATGTAATATAATATAAAGAGCACTTCTTGAGAGTGTATTGCTCACTAAATCCCATGCAGAAAGTGATGATCTCAACCCGGAAATCTCCAGAAGCTCCGATATGGCTGACATTACTGATTCAGCACTACTAGAGCATATTTGCAGTCCCCCAAAAATGCCCAAATCACAAAAGTTAACGAAAATTGATGGGCTGATGGCGAAAATTTTGTTTAGTATCATTGAGAGGGCAATTTTATACATTATTCAAAATGAAGTGGATGGTGTTGCGAAGACAGGAGCATCAACCGGTCTTCCAAACCGTCGGAGTTGGCAGTGTCTAGTGACAGACTTTGAAAAATGTGGAAAATGATGAGAGAAAAACAAGACTACATAACGCAGAATGTACCACCTTGACCCAAATGCAGTAATAATCTTTTCTCCTCTAATTCAATAATGGCTGGAGCTGTTGGAGATGCAATCCGGCATTGATGAGAAGATGCTGGAAAGCTGACTGATGGATTGGTAATCCCGAACTAATGCCCGACTCATGATGGAGGAGGTGCAAGAATATTCTAGATAGTTTACTCTACAGTATAAATTGTGGAATGAGGAACAGATCCTCATCAACTTGTAAAACTAGGTCTAACAACCATTTGTGCAATCTCACCCAGAATTACAACAGGAGCTTTCACCTCGGGACATGGATTTTCTGAATCAGGCTCACAAACTGGTCCAGAATAGAACCCTCTTGATAAATTCTCAGAACCAAACCCCCTTGAGTTCCATTTGATCCCGAACATTGTCGGTATGTGGTAGATTTCCACTTAGTTTTCCGTCGCTCTGACTGGCAACTACCATGCACAGAAATAATTACGACCTACTGTACTATTTCATTTAATTCGAATGTCACATGTCACACCCGACTTTTTTTTATTGTGGCAATAATTTTTTCTCAATTTATCTGATTTTCTTTAGCCCCAGAAAGTCGGGGTTGTGGTTGAATTGATTGAAATAGTGCAGTATCTGACATCGGGCATCCCACACACAAGTTTGGGTTGCCTACAAGGCATCTGATTTCAATTCTAAACATCCGTCTTTCTCAAATGAGTCTAATCCGTCGTTTCATCCATTGTATGTGAAGGATGTTCAAACAATCTTGACAAACCAGACATGTACATTTTTGATTTATGATTCAGTGCATCCCTCACAGCCACCTTTGGCAACATGGCCGTTACGGTCGCCGTTGTTGTTGTTCTATTTCTATGCCTACCTTTCTGTTCTCTTGACTTCATGTAGTACATTTAGCTACTAGTTGCCTAGTTACTTACTTCTCCTGGAGTATAAATATGGTACCTACTACATCAGGAAAAAGAGATTTCCTCTGTAGCCACACCCCAGGTTCTAAAGCACCAGTAGCCCCAGTAGCTGTCCACTGCAGCTTGGTAGCCCTGATAGCCTGAGGGCAGGAGATCTGTATCATCTGGTAGCCATCAGCACCAGATCAGTAGCTGTGGATAGATCTGCCAAAACAGCAAATGTTGTTTGAGGGTTTTGATGCCTGTAAACATTATGAATGGTCAATGTATGTTGATTTAGCAGCTTGAAATGAGTAGAAGACGGCCCCTGGGAGCCCTTGCAGGATTCTCACCCTAACAAAAATCTGTTAAGTCAGTTCAAAGTCTGCTGTGCCCAGCTCAATTATGTGTTTGGTTATGATTTACTTATTTATGCTTATATAGTCTAGTTGGTTAGGATGTGTCTGTTTTGTATTGAGTGTTTTCAGGATGGCGTGAGTTCGAATCCCGCAAGGCGCCATTTAATAAATTACCATATGTAGTAGTTATCTACCAGCAAGTACACTTTGTTTGTTCTATTCTGTTGTGCACACGTCCATTACTGTAGTAATTCAAGTATCATTTATTTTACTCCATTCCGTTACAATGACTACTCCTTGCGGTGACTAGATACAGGAAGCTAATGAGCATGTATGCTAAAACTACCAGCAGCTACCAGAGTCACATGAGAGAGCTACTGTGAGGTCCTGGTAAATCGGAGGGATAAGGACCCCGTGAGAGTCGTCAAGAAACCAAGCATTCACGCAGAGGATGAGTGGGGGAACATTGGATTCAAGAAAAACTAAAGAAACTACATAACTCTACTTATATACTAAAAGAGAACTACTCTAATCAGTCACAGAACCTATCGGAAAGCCACACGGTAAACACGATGTGCTATTATCGAGAGGTAAGTACTGTAGATACTTGTACTGTAGCAACCAGCCAACCCACCGTGACATCGACAATCGCTTTGGGCAACGCAACCACCCCAATTTTTACCATGACCGTTGAAATTTCGGCAACCAAAAAAAGTGAACCAGCTGTAATTCTGGTTCAAAATCTGGTTTGAAGCTCCTGTCCTGTGCAGAATCCATGTAGAAAGTGTTTGGAAGATTTTTTTGTGGTTTCTGAGTGTTCTTCGGGCTAAAAAATGATTATTTTCCGCATGTCACGGTAGCAGGCTAGGCAACCAACTGTGTCGTGACCGTGACCTGGGGCGGTTTGGGCAACGCAACCACCACCATCGTGACCGTGACAGTTGCTACGGTACAAGTATCTACAGTATTGCACATTTAAGGCTCCAACGGTTTCCGTTTATAAACGTTTTTAAACGGTAAAAACCGTTTTTATTTCCGTTTAGTTTACGGACCCTTGTAAACGGTAAACAAATGGTAAACAAACGGTTCAAACGGTCGTGAAAATCCACCGACCCGATAGAGGCCCGATGGTAGGATTTTGGTTCTAAATGTGGCTCAGAGTCACCACACAATGTAAGTAATAGCAGAATAACGAGATACTAACTGTATGGTGTGCTATGGACGGGACTGGGTTGGGATCGGGCGGACGTTTCCTAATTTAGTAATTATACATGTGATTGATGGCGCGCGGACATCTCCGCCCGCCACGCGCCTTGCATCCCGCCCTCATCCCGCCCCCGCCATTGGCACCCCAGCTCTTGTCCAGGTTAGTGACATACAATTGAGGTGTCGAAGTGATGCTTGTGAGTCCATTTCGGACCATGATTCCCAGTCAGACAGCGCTCGGATATCTTTTCCAGATTGCCCTGCCAAAATACCGTTTATAAACTGTTTTAAATGGTTTATAAACGTTTTCCAACCGTTTCCGTTTAGTTTACGGGTTTCCGTAAACAAAAACTAAATGGTTGGAGCCTTATGCACATTGCTTGAAAAGGAAAGCATATCTAATCTCATCATGCATCCTGTCACGATTAGATAAGATCTATCGTTCCAACACCTATCTAAGCGCCCGAGATCTAAAGCGCTGGATGACAAAGAGGCTATGACTAAGACCGGCCCGACGAAAGGGATGACGATGGGATGACGTCATGATGATGTCAGAGATGACGACAGGACATGAGGACACAGCAAGGACACTGAGAACATGTGGTTAAGGGTAGTTGTAGTATATATAGATTAGTTCACACGGTTCCCTAGACAGTATAAGAAGAGTAGCTATTACGCTGTTGTAGTTAACCTTTTATTCCATCATCTTTCGAGATCTACCACGAGCACCACCCAATCCCTCTCATCTTACCGAGAGTGGACGCTTAAAGGTCTTGACTGTGACACATCCAGGCCCACATCTCCGGAGCATTTGATCTCAGCATCTCCCGCCAAAGGTCCATCCCTTACAGCTACCAAGAGCTACCAGAATATGGCAGAGGGCTACCAGAAGCCTCATACAGGGGGACTAGACGACTGCGGTACTCTGGCTACCAGGGCTACTTACCGCTACTGAACAATGTGAATTTTTCCTGATGTATGCTCAATAAATTGTCTGAGCTCACCAGCTTAAGTCCCAGAGCCTCATTTTCCAACAGTACACACAGTACAGTCTGAGTACTTCCGCGAGTCTCATCCGCGCTCATGTCATTTTCGGCTGAAAACGCACACCTCTCCTCTGCAGAGACTTTTCTGCACATAAATACACTACATTTATGAGCTTTGAAACACGCAGTTCGTCACTCGTTACTCTCTTGCTCGAGTTCGCTGGTCCGGCTTCACTCGCTCTGTTTCCTCATGCTGTCATTTTCAGCCCTGGTATTTCTAAGTGTGCCTTAAAACAAGAGTGTCTCAGTGTGCTTTGCCGCGCGGCGGGCCTACTACATAGTATACACTCATCGTACTTATACATTCATCACACTTGATCCACATGACGGAATTGAATGGTCTCCAGTTCGCCGCTCAAGGTGGTGACAGTTTCAAGTTGCCGGTTCGCCGCATCGTGGAGATTGAGCATCAGTCTGGAGATCATTGTCACCGAGATGCTGTCGGCCGCACATCGATAAATATGGGTTCGTGAGAATAAAATATGGCACACACGCGCAAGCAACCCAGGCTAGACTTCCAGCGGTGATGATCTGCGAATCCATAGGTGTGCGAAGCCCGAGGGATGATAGAAATACTGACATCGCCTGACTGATAGAAACGGTCCGTGAAGAATAAGGACGAGAGGCTGGAATCTACACACATATAGCATGACAATGTTTGCCAGATTCACCAAGCATATCATTCTGGTGTATTGCAATGTGAGATCGATGTATTGAAAAGACCTGAATACAAACCCGAAATATACCGCACCTAGCATCATTCCATGAGATGAACCATGTGAAGAACGAAACATCTTACCGTCACGGAACATTGTTCGCAGAAGCGAAGGCGATTCCAAGCCGACGGTGTGATGGTAGGTATAGGCGCGGCGAAGGGTTAGGCTCAGGATGAGAATATCGCATACGAGTCTGAGAGCACGGGGATTGGTTGTGAGTGAGAAAAAAAGGTGGACGTACTGGGCTTCCCATGCCAACGCTACGCCTGTGGGAGGGGGGAGTCAGTTCATTGTGTCGTGGCAGGCCGTTGAAGACTTGCGAATCGACCTGGGAGCATATCAGGTCAAAAACATCCGGACTTGAAATACGCTCATGTACAGACTGGTTCTTAGATGTTGTGACATGGCAAGCAGGGACAGAGGTCTCGAGAATGAGCTTGGGGCCGACGACCGCCCACTTGAAAAAAAAAGATTGTTAAAAATTCATCCTCTGACCGTCGGAGGGATATCGTACGGCGCCCAATCCCACAGTCGTCAATGCAGCGATCGATAACGAGATGAAAACTTTTCGATTGAACCCGTACATCGCACACACTCGGAGCGAAAGAGAGCCTTGCATGAAGGTCAGAGAAGGAAACAAAAAGTATGGTCTTGCCCGCACATCCAATGAAGAACTCCTGAACTACGAGCAGATAGTTCTCAATCTTGGAAAGCCTTGTGCAGCTGCAACGATGGTTTAGACGAATGTACCAGCAGGTGGAATTACAAACAATATTACCTCTGAGTATTGTCAGCATGGATGGATCGATATGAACCAATCAACTCAAACATACCTCTGGGTTTAGGTTCCCCAGGAAGAATGCTACCATAGTGAGGTTGCTCAGAAGGGTTACATATCGAAAAAGCAAGAACCAGGCCGAGCTGCGTCTAAATCTCGGACCCCAGAGGTTTTCGACTTCGGAACCCAGTGTGAGGAGATAGTCATATAGTACTACAACTTGGATGCATCAGGATCCCGGCGTGAAGCGATGGATGACGGACCTACCGAATCCTGTGAGGAAGAGGGAGCGCCGCAGGCGCCTATTCGGAGGATAAACATCTGAATCAGCCGCGTAAGTCGGTACAGGCTCATAACATACTGGTCCTGGTGCAATGTAATGACGTCGAATTCCACTGTGGCCATGGGAGGGACGGGGAAGGGACGCGGGTGACATCCTCTGAGCTCAAGACTTATCAACAGGAGCGCGGTCCCCAAAGCGATGTATGATCGGACCTTCTCGAGAGCGGACACGTTTTTAGACCCACCGTTGATCGTCCTCCAGCGAGATGTCCGTAGGCAAGCTGCACAGCTGCATCCTGAACAAAAGAGTTGAAGGACCAGGAGCATTCAAAGAAGAAAAGTGGATCTCCGCCGGGATGGTGCCGTCGTCTCACGTCTCAAGTTGAATGGCAAGGAATGGTACCCGTTGTTTATCCCGAACAGTTGGCGAAGTCTGGGGTTGATCAATGATCATCTCCTGACGCTACAGAAGAGCAATGACAAGCATCCCACCAACATTCGTAAGACACGGTTCGTAAGACACGGTTCGCAAGACACGGACACAAAATGTCCGGAAGATGGACCAGAGTTCAGATGAGGTGAGGCCGCACCAGGTCGGATACTAGCAGCGAGGGAGGTGATCCTGGTCAAGGAAGTCGTCCAATTCAAGCTCAATCAATGCGTGGCGAGGGTGGCCCATATCCAAGGCTTCAGACATGTAAATGAGCATCAGTGCCACCACGACCGTGACTGAGTGGATCGATCGGAATACATAGAAAACGGTAAGGTGGTGGAAGAAACAGTAAATTTGGAGGCAGTGCTGACACGGCGCCAATGCTTCGCGACTCCGGTTTAAACAAAAAGACCAGTCTGTGATTCGAAACTTGAATCGGGAAAAATAAAACACTGTCACATTCTACTACTTGAAGCTTAAAGCCAATGCAAAACCGTTTCCAGAACCGTCTACAGAACCGACCCCGAGAACCGCCCGAAAACCTCTACTCCGATTGGCCCTAATATAGCTCATATCTCGTTGAAAACCGTGATGGCGGACCACGTATCAGAGAGGTGGTCCAGTCGGCGAGTTCTGACGGGAAACTACAGTGGACACATGATTGATTCAGACGGTTGGGGTGTTGTCAGTGTGGGTAAG